TCAAAATAAAGTTGCGGACATTTCAAACGTGGTTGGTTCACGATGCAACATTGATAACAAGGAATCGTATCTGTTTACTGTGGGTCAGTACGGAGAGATTGTTAATGACAGTGTTTTAAAGACCTGACAGTGAGCGGCCATGCTGTAAAACTCGGTCTTCGTCGGAAATTATGTAAGTGGGTTTCCTTTCAAACACGCAGATAGTGTCTACCGGTATCATCTCACCTGGTAACGAGTTTCATGACCGGAAAACGCGGTGGCTGAACGAAAACCTCCTACGGTGTGGCCACGTACGTTCGCTCTTAATTCTGTGGGAAGGGCCGCGTAATCTGTTTGTACGGAATGACTTAGAGAAATCTTCCGGTTTCAGTGAGCAAATATGGCCACGAACAGTCCGGAACGTCCAAAGTAGACTGCAGGTTATTTGTCTGTAAGATAGAGGGAATAAGCCATGCCATGATGTGGCTGTTGAAACTCCATATTGCAGGTGCGGTCTTATAAAACCGTCGAGATTTCTCTTGAGGAGTTCAGGAGGAGATGTATTTAATGCACGTCTGATCCAGTGTAAAGTAATAGTTGGCTTCTGAATCATCTTCTTACAATGTTCTGACGTCCTTAGATTTGTGGTCGTATGTAGACCCCGGTCTCTACGTCTTTCTTCATCTTTAAATGATGTCTCGTAGATATGGTACTGATGTTTAGGAGGGCACTTCCGTCGACGTTTAAATTAATAACAACACATTTCGGTACATTAAACTTTAAAAACCATCGGTTTGACCAAACACTTAGTTTGTCGATGTTCAGTGGCAAATTCTCTGATGGGGATATGGGTGGTGATGGGATTTAATCTGCCATGGTTTACCGCAGATTTTCGTGAAGGCGAGCGTGGCCAAGCAGGCCAATTTTGTGAAGGAATGTGCGTGGGCAATGCGGCCAGTCGAGGCGAAGGCGAAGACTGTATGTTGGAGCTCCAGGCCCTGGCTGACCGGTCCCTGCGCGACGCATTCGCAGGTGACCGACCGGACTGGACGCGATGTACTTGTGCGGCGACAAAGTGGACATATCATGTTCGTATCTGCGATGTTGGCCGCGGCGATGTTTCCAGTGATGACAACGCCAGTGGCGAGAAATTGTGTAGTACTGCGGATGAGAGAGTTGTCGTATATGTAACTTGGGCTCGGCATGTCGGCTTTGCGGTGAATTCCGCCTCCGCCCGTGTTCGAGCATGTGGCCGAATAAATCCACACGGTAAGTGAATGTGCGTGAGCAGGGCAGACAGTTTAGGTAGGTGCAGCAGCTGTATGTTGGAGCTCCCAGCACTGTGGCGCTGTCGTGTTCCGATGGATTACCAAGTGACCGGCCAAGCGGGTGAGTAGTGTTAAGGCGCAATCGCAGTCCGCATTGTTGGTGGTGGGGTGTTAAGGGTCACAATGGTGGTTGACGAGGCGTTGGGAGTTTTCTCATCGATGGTTGGGGTCGGACTGACGACAGTCGTTGTTGCTATCGTCTTGGTCATTTCGACATTGATGATAGGGTTGGCGAGCGACAACGAAGGCAGCTACGTAGAGCGAGGATGCACATGGGCTGTGATAAGGGTCCCAGCCGCGAGTTCCACACAGAGCTGTAGTAGGGAGTGACCACAGGGGAGCTTGAGAAGGTATGAGATGGATTTGCAGCGTCGTTATCGCATCACGTTCGTAGATGTTCGACGTGGGCGATTCGTGCACGAAGCTTTCATCCACAGAGTGAGTCTGATGGTATTGGTGTTTTGTTGGGGTTAAAAGTCTGTGGCAGTTGCAACTTGCGGGCCCCCCTTTTGGATTTGCAGTGGTTATATGGTTGACTTCGTAGATTGCGGCTACAGTTTTCACTGCTTTTCTCCAGGTTAGTCGGCCCTGGGCGAAGTCTTTCCAGGTAACTGGGTTAATTTTTAAGCGTTTGGGGAGTTCTTCGAGGTGTGCTTGTGCCGTCTCCGTTTTCCTCCTCGTCGACGTACACCCGTAACGACGTCTCCTTGAGAGGACCGCTTGGATAGGCGCTTGCCGTCCGTCCTCACGATGCAACCTCCTTATTTCAGTTGCCGTTGCCATAGCATGGCGTAGATACTTTCGATTCCAGTCTGTTACATGACTTCCACGTTTAGGATCCTGTTTTACCACCACCAATTTAATATTCTTAGGGAACATCTGAGATAGAAGTAATTGGGCTTCCCGTCTTGATTGACGTAAACGGTCTAAGTCCGCACCCCATGTAGTGGCGTTTGCAGGGCTACCGCCCCATACATTTTGCGCTTCATGTTGAGTAGAAGTCCATAGCGGTTCCAGACAGAGGTCTGGCTGACTTTGGAGATCCGTAGAGCCTATTTATTTTCTGCCTTAGTGTTATTTCATATGACACTGGCTAGTGAGACGAACACATACACCAATGTGTGGTGCATGCCGCAACTCGAGATCATCAGCAATTCAGACACCCCAGGCAATCCTTCGCATATATTAAGAAGAAAATTATATCCAGAAAACTCCTCTTGGAACACTACTTTGATCGGCTGCCCACTGCGATTTGGCGTTACCACCATGGGTTGCGGAAATTCATCTGTGAGGAAGTCGGCAACTATTTGAGATGATTCCCTGTCACGCCCAGCTGACGTAATTAAATTATTAGTCGTCAGTTTAAGAATCGGAGAAAATTTTTCCTTACTTCAATGCAGACTGAGTCCACCAACGGATTTTGTTCGACCCTCCATAAATATGGATCGGTAAGTTAGACATGGTCAGCAGTTTCAAAAGCACACTAACCAAGCAGTTTTATATTTTTTTTAACGACTTAGAATACTCATCTTTAGGTCACCTGTCAGCCTGCAGTTAAGAATAGGACTATGACATCTCAATGCCCTAAAGGTGATGTTCCATCTTTCATAGGTCATTCCACTACGTTACTAACCAGAATTCTCAAGTGCCAGCAGTACTGTTCAGCTCCAACACCTCGAGTACTACTCACCGACATGACCTCCATTATTCTTACGTCACATGGGGTTCAGAAGATTTCAGATATAGATTTAGACGGAAGACTGAATTGACCTTAAGTGCTTATGTTGCAGTGTAGCGGCCGAGGACGTCAAGGGTAGCACACACCAGAGTAAGAGAACGCTGAGAGTAGATCCTGGAGGAGAGTAATCTGAACAGAGTCGTTAACATCTCTGAATACTCATTCACACGCAGCAGAAGAGGGCACGTCAGGAACGGAATACAGTAAAGTATAACAAGACGGTCATGAGAGATACGTATAGTAATAATAGTTACTCGTACAGTTGGAATAATTTACAGCCATCAGATAACCTGTCTGGGTGAAGAGGCGATACCGACATGCCAGCTAAATAACCGGTGGGGAGCGCAGCGCTGTGGGCAACTGCAGGGGAGGGCCGAGGGAGGTGCCGATGTCGTGAGACGGAGAGCGAGGCGAGCGTTACGGTACGGTACGGTAAGGGGGCAGGGATCGGCGGATGAGAGAGGAAGGGACACCGGCCATCTTCGCTGAGACGCGGTTACGCCATCTCCACCCTAGGTCCTCGCGCCAAAAGTGTCGCGGCATTCAAACAATACTGTGCAAGTCCAGGGGCGTTACAGCAGCGAAGAATGTAAAATAAGGATTTTGTAAAACTATATAAGTTGACCACTGGCAAAGTCGATAGGAGACATAAGTTAATTTTCAAAATGTAATGGTGGCCGAAATCGTTGGGGCACTAGATGTCCTTTTTGAATCCCTTATACAATACCGCATGTAGGCCAGTCCTGTCTGACCCGCACACTTACCTCCTGATGGACGATAGTTTTTTCTGACCTGACGTTGTCCGTTTAAAATCCGTTATGCGCTGCCACATGCAGGCCAGTCCTGCCCGTACATTTAACCTTTCGTGAGCGACAGATTTTCCTCCTCTACAGTTAATCTAATCATTTTGTTTATTCTATAGTGGAGTTTCTTTTACTGTTCGCACATCATTTTTTCTTAACGAACTGGTTATTCAGTAACTATGTGTTGATATTGTACAGATTCTGTCACCCTCTTCAAAAATTCATATAAAAATTTATTTTTGCTTGCTATGACGGAACCCCGAAGGGTCTGTAATAAAAACTATTTATTTATTTATTTATCATTGAAGCGTGAACTGAGTGAACATCTCGAGGGCAAATCATTCTGACTCTAATAAAGTGACCTATCGCAGCTTAGTGACCAATTTAGACAGTTATATCAGACGAGTACTTTGCGACATCTTATGGGATGGTAGGACGGGCCAACTCAGCGGTTCATACTGACTCCCCACGCACAGTATTTAAAAATGTTGTGATTCATCTTTCCCGTCAAGGCGGCCTACGTGCTATAGACCAGCACGTAAGTAGGTGACGGTCGCATCACAAATGTTCCTTTGGTGGAGTCGCAATCACAAGTGCAATGCATACTAGCTCCCCAATATGTACGTGCAGGCGCTTTTACCATATCCTTAAGTGAACAAAGGCTGCCAGCCAATGCGAACTTTTTGTGCCTGACGTGCATTTTCGCCAATTTTCCGCACCTCGTCAATGGTTTCAGGTTCTCATTCCATTACCCTCTGCATTTTAGCCTTTTATTAGCTTTAAATCGCTTCCCGTCTCCTATTTTTTTCATTTTTCGATTTATGACTGCTACTGAAGTCTAAGCGTTACAGTCCCCGTTACACCAGTTTGGCCACTCCTGTCTGTCTGGTTGTTAGCCAGTCCCAGCCTTAATCTTAACTATGTAGGTTCCATCTGACGGCTGAATAGGGGCATTATGTTTAGGATTTCTTGCTTACCCGATAAATCCTACGCACTTGCTTCTGACTGACTGAGCGTTTCGGCGAATTCCTGACCTCTAATGGTAATTATTTGTTGGGCTTGTTTAAAAAGACGCACCAAGGTCATTGGAACTCACGAATTTGAGGCTGCGTTCTGCAAACTCAGGAAGATCTTAATATCTTCTCTGTTCTTATGATGATTAGGAGAAATAACGCACCGCGCCAACCAAAAGCTACTAAAGCATCCAAAAATCAGGATGGTAGTCACGTTTTTATTTTGATTTTGTAGCTTGAGTGCGATTGCATTAATTGCTGAGTTTCTTTCATGTTATCTCCCCGGCGTCATTGCACGTATTTATGGCGTCGGCCTGATTTTCTAACACTCAATTGTGGGTGTTTTATTTACTTTTTGTAGCGAGCTGTTCACGGATTGGATCAGAGTACCAAGCAGTTGTTCCGGATTTTGTCTATGCGCCTTCCCCCCCTTATCAGTTGTCCGCGTCAAAGCTTGAAATTAATGTATGGAGGCCATCAATCGCTCCGCACTCTTCAGTTCTAGATGGCGTTTTTCAGGAAGCTTCCAAAAATAGGTAACAGTTGCGTCCTTTTGTTAATATTTTGTTTTACTGCCCTTCGCGACAATGGGAGACCACGCTTGCGATACATGTTGACTTCAGATATGGCTAAGTACAAACTCGAATCGTGCCTTTGATATAACTTGTCGTATACCTATCCTCATTTGTCTCTCCAGAGAGGTTGTTTTGAGTTTTGCGTCTGCAAAACGGTCTGTGCGTGTAGACGACACCGACGTAGTTTTTACATACTCAAGAATAATTTACGCAGAGAAATGATTATAATAAAGCGCATCGAATACCATTCCCTATATACTTTTTCGCATTTCCCAACGACAGGAACATGTCAACAATTTCCTAAGACGACTTTTGAAAACCGCTTTATGCTATTCAGTGTTTGAACCGACAATGCGAGCTACTGCTTCAATTTTTTACAAATATTTCAGCTTCCCCACTGAGGCTGTGCATGTTTTTCTGCACTGTCACAATTACGACGTTTCTCGTACGCTGACTGACTTGCCAAATTATCACCCCCTCCTCAACACATGGAGCAAACATGAAGTACAGAGGTTTCTCAAATGTGTTGACAGCAAACCGCGAAAAAACTTTGTAAACGTGAAGCGATCGGTAAGTCATAACTTGCGACTAACATGTGCTGATTAGTTGTACTCAAATTAGTTTTACTTTTATTGTTCACTTATCGCCTCGTAGACGTCCGTTCACTTAGTTTTTTGTTACTTGATCTCAGTGGTTCGTTAAGCCACCTGTCAGTAACTTTGATAAAATAGTCAAGGTAGACCCAATGAGGACCGCGTAGTGTTGTGGGTTCCTATTTTTTGGGAAAATGTTGTATTACCAAATATATTTTATGCCTACGTCCATTCTAATTCGAGGTCTGTCTTTTCCATCAACGCCAAAGGCTCCTTATAGTCCCCTTGCATCTTAGGCTAAAGCAACGAGTTTTAAGCTGATTAACTGACTGCTTTCGTATTATCTGATGAGTACTTACCCTACGGTCTTTGCATGCGTTTTAATACTCCGTTCGCCACATATGATTAACCATACGTCTAACGTAAGATATTTTCCTGGCCCCAAGTACGGTCGTAACTTTCAGAAAACGCGTTTTCTGATCATTCTGAATATTTTTCACAAAGTGGCGACGCTGAACTTCTAAAACTCGGCGCTCCTCTGTTGACTTAATTAATATAACCCTATTTAAAATGTTTTTTTATGATGAAACTTCTGAGGAATTGCATTTAAGATTTGAGGTCACAAAAACCCGAATAGACGATCCAGCATTTTGCAACGTGCTTTGAGTCATTATCGATGATTTAACGCATGGTTCTTCTAGTCTTTTAGCTAATCGGGACTAACGTTAGTTTTAGACGTGAGTTTTGTCTATTTAGTTGGACATACTACGGTTATGATTTCTGGATTGCCGGTAATTTGATTTTTAGGACCTGTGCACACTGCAGGGCGTCTGACAGTCGGTTTCCTCGCAACACGGCTCCAAAATAAATACTTTGTCCTACCTATAGACTGGAGGTTGTTTTCTCGGTTTACAAGTTCGTAATTAGTGTATTCCTCTGCCGCTACAGCCGTGGTCCAGATTGTAACACTAGGGCTTTACCTATCTGCCTCTTGCATTGCACTACGCCATGACTGGCAAGAATCACCCAGTTATTCTTTCTGTCTGTGAGTTTATTAGTCTGTTGTCTACTCTGCGTATAAAGTACATCACTTGATCGGAGCACTCCAGATCACGTGCGCGTAAATTGCTTTGTTCCCACTTATTTCAAAGTCCACGGGAGTGTAAATTGGTAATGCTTAGTAATTAGAAGACAGGCCCGTGCAACTTGCCAAAATTTTTGACTGGAGCTATGTTCAACTTTTCGTACAGTTAAAAGTCGTTGTACGGCAAGATTTTGAACCTTTCCCTATTAGTAGATTTCAGACTGCACGTTGGCGGAACTTAACTCAAACCCTCTGCTGCATGCTTCCATTAGATGCGCCCATAAGAAACCTTTAGAATTTTTTATATGCACGTTTCACCAAATGCTTATTATTTGGGCATAAGCATCCTTCATGGACCCGCAATTCTGTGCTAGAGCACTAGAGTCAAGCTGACTGATGACGGAGAGTAGGCAAGGAAAAATAACGTTTCTCAAAGTTGAATTTGAGGCACAGTTACCTGAACTCTTACCTCAGATTATAGATTTATTTTGCATTTATTAAAAAAATATCCGATATTGCGCGGAAGGAGGCGAACTTCCCCAGATCTCTTGGGCCACTATGTGTGATAAAGGATATTTCGGACGACCCTGTCTACGTAATTTGTTGTTCACATAGTATTATTACTTTCATTATTTATTACTTGGTGCCTGGAGTGTTCGATCGCATAGGAACAAATTTCACCGGTTTCCCCTTATCAAGAATTGACATGGATGTCGGAATCAGAATGGCCGCAAGCACGTCAGTAAGATGGTGCGAACAAAGTAGGATGGAAGAATTGAAATGAATTAAGACCCTATAATTGCGCATTATTCCTCTTTTAATTTTCGTATCGGAACTAAAAAGAGAAACAGAACAATAACTAGTGAGGCAGAATTTGGTCAGAGCAATGATGTAGCATAGAGGTTTGCCCGTTGTTATGCAGATGGGCAGTGTCATCGTTATGAACACTAAAAGGTGTTGCAGTATTATGCTTGCCGGCTGAACTGGCGTCGCCTTCTTTCCTCAGTGGTCAGGAGGAAACTAAAGACTATTTCCAAGCATCAGCGTGGGAGTCTCCTGATGACAATCATCAATCTTTCTTTACTTTCTGGAAGCAAGCAAGCGGGCTAACGGATAGTGTTTCTTCTCTGTCGCCATTGGGCCCTTTGTGAACATACTGGAGTTTGTATCGGAGCAGATCAACCTCCTCAACGAACGGATCATGTTTAAAGTGTTGACTGCTTTTCTCCAACAGAACTCGGCCGGGAGAGGTGAGACAGATAGGGAGAGTGCTTTCCGTGGTGGACAAACGCTTTCATATAGTGTCGTGTTAGTAGTGGTCCGTGAAAATGATCTAATTGAGTGCAAGTCGTCGTGTAGAACGGACTCTCAGTGAGTGGCAGACTTTAAGATTTTGAAGCAAGCAAAATAGTGTTTTATAGAGTTTGGTTAAAATGCTCGACTTGCCCGTCTCCCTGGTGATTTTGCGAAGTTGTCCTGCTAGTCGTGTGGCATAAATGACGGTCCCCGATCGGCGTGGATGCACTAAGGAGTACCGAAACTGGAGAAGGGCTAGAATAAACTTGTAATAACGACTGCGGCAGTCTGATCATAACAGGCAAGTGTAAATTAAAAACGAAAATATTCTTCAATTATCGTCAACAGATAGAGATTGCGGGTCACTGACAGAATTTGGTATAACACTTGCAAAAAGAAGTAGACTTTGACTTCAAAGCAGATCCGACATATAGCGACAACATTTACGGTTCTCCATAGCCTAGAGGCACCAGGATGACACTCGGCACTCGTTAGCATGGCCCAGCAACAACTACGAGAAAACGTTTCCGCCACTTGGCTTTATTTACCAGGTTGGTAAACAATTTTGAATTTAAATGACGATATCTCTAACCGCCAACGCACGACCTTGTCATTCTCCACCTTCCCTTTTCGTTGATTGCCACCGATAAAGGCGACAGAACGCTGATCTGTTATGAGTTTAAAATGATTACGGAGGTGAAAATATCCTCAAGGTTCTCGCGCATAATTACGTCGTCAATAGTTCGTTGGAAGCATGGAACTTCATCGGTGGCACCAAACGGGATTCGACGATATCGATGCAAAAGTCCACAAGCTCCAAATGCAGTGTATGGCCTTTCCTCTGCCTGGATAGGTATCTGGTAATAGGCGCTCTTGAAATCAAGAATGCTATACCTGTCGCAGTTTGCAATATGTTTGATCATTTCTTGGAGGAGGGGGATAGTCATCGAGGAGTATGTATTTGCTTTTAGTTTGACTATGATCAACAACTGTTCGCATTTTGTGATTTTCATTTGGCTACCACCAGGACTTGGACCGCCAAGAGGATACGGAGGGCTTAACTACTACTTCAGACAGAAGACGACGAATCTTTTATTGCAAAAGTCCTTCACTTACTTTAGCGTAGCTACGAGATTTTGTTGCGACGGGCGCACAGTCCTGCGTTAAATTAGAAAAAAACGAGGTGGCTCGATACAGACGGAAGCCATAGGACACGGTGAGAAGGTAGATTTAGGTTCGCTAAAAGAAGCGGGAGAAAGTTATGACCAAGTAGAATGTAGGCGCACAAATCCAGTAAGATCGATGGTTTGCCCTTCTTGCAAACGGTGTCTTTATCTCTAATCGCGACGAGAACATGTTTTTGCGTGGAGCTGGTTGGGGTGGTGGTGGCGGCCATGGATATCTTTGTGCGAGGTTTATGAAATTCCCGGTTATTTAGGATTACTATAGAAGACGAACTGCAACTCTCAGAACTACCTGTGTCTATCGAGGCCTGAAAATTGGCCCCATTCATCAGTACTTCGACCATTGTGTTTGAAAGGCAGTCAGCAACTGCAACTGGTGCTACGGCGACAATGATCGGATGCGTAGAGAAAGAGAAGACTTTTCGACTTTGTAATGCCAAGCAAACTTTCTGGAAGTACCCCTTTCTACCATATCGCTTGTATAACACGTAGCTTGCAGGGCAATTCGAAGGAGGATGCTTGTCTTGTATTCACGAAAGAAACTGGATAAACTGGAGGTCACTAGGTCAAGTGCTTAAACAGGACTGGGTGTAATTTCGCACATCTCAGTAGCGGCGAAGAATGAGACCGTCGGGGACTGTTTTGCAGCCAATTCCAGTGACCTTGCCTGCTCCAGAGCAGGTTAAAAGTTCAAATTATTATGTTCCAATAATCTCTGCCGGATCTGATTTGCTGAAAGGCCACTGCTAGCCACGTCTCTGCTGACATCGTCACGATTTTGTTCTGATGTAGCAGTTTTGAAATCGCGGTCTTTAGTCAAAGACTTCAGCCTTTGGGGCGAACTTGCCGAGGATTTATCCATCTTCCTGTCTACAGGTCGTTATAGCATGGCGAAAAAAATATTTCATTTTTGTACCTTGAGTAGATGCCTCGAAGCAACTGAAGCATTCACTCATGCATTTCCAGACTGTCGGATCCGAACGGTCCGAACGCTCAATTTCTTCGGTTGCAGGATCGGTCCGAACGCTCAATTTCTTCGGTTGCAGCCTCGTGATCGCGGACACTAAATGTTTAAACGTGGGAAACGCGGTGGTTCCATTGTTTGGAAGTATTTGTATCGACATAAAATCGCTCTAGTCTGAGGAATAAACCGTTTTTCGAGCTGTAAATTGTCGTAATAATCCGAATGGTCACAAGCACGCGACTGTGATAGGATAGGAGAATCAGAGGGAATGAGTATCCCAGAATTGTGCCTTATCTGACAATTGGCTTATCAGAACCACAACGAAAAACAGAACGGTACTCACTGAGATGCCATTTGGTCAGTGCAATGGGTTAGCATGATAGTGAGGATTTGCGTTTTTGACTTCGATGTTTCAAATTCACTTATGCTGTCTTGCGACGACGTTGGCGTGCTCCTCCTCTGTCTGATGAGGTCAGAAAAATGGCAATTTTTATGTCACTTTTTTTTCAGTGACGCCCCTGCAGACTATATTACTCCCCATCATTCAATTTCTTTTTGGGCCGCGTGACGACTGTACACGATTGGTTTCGTTCTTGTAGTCCGACAAGCCCGCCGCTGGAAATACTCCCAGTTTTCTTAGTGCGTGGCTGCTACTGATTTCCATTCCTCTACTGCAAAGACATATCCAAATTCTGCTGGTATCGCACTTCACTGGCATCGTGTACATTTGTGCGCAACGAAATCAATCTAAAAACGTGGACACTTTTTTGAGTTTCTGTGGTACTCCCTTTATCCTTGCAAACAGAAACATTCTTCATTCCTTCGGTTTCCTACTTGTGGCTTGCCGCGTCACCAGCCCTTTTTGCCTGCATTACGCCAACAGCTGTTGGTTAAAACTACACTTTATTGACAGTTTCCAGCTTATCGTATGGCTGAGGTTGCCGACCTCTACTACGGTATTGCCGCGCCCTTCAAGGCAGTTTCCAAACACAACAAGAAACACGCACAGCAGATGCAGGCGTGCTTTGAGAAAGCCATCAGACGGGGCTTTGTCTCGCCCTCCGTTCGGCGCGGCAATCAGATCTCACTAGCCCCCGCTGCCTCGACCAACGGGCCCCAGCCTTCACCGCCGTCCGAAGCCTCCGAGGATCCATTTGAGGCCGAATTGGAGCACCACCTATCTGGCATGCTGGGCGAGGAGCAGGCTAAACGTCTGCTCAGTGGCGTCAAGCGTGGACGCCCACCTTCCCTCTTCTCCAAGAAAAACCTCCTGTACAGCGATACGCTGTGGCCAAACAGCAGTCAGACAACAAAGGCAGGCAATTCAAATGGCAGTGACGGCCAACCTGCCAGCTCAGACTACTCCTCGGTGTGTGATGGTGATCGTGCACCTCCTTCACGGTAAGCACACACGTTGCCGACTATGTTCACCGTGTGCTCCACAATAAGCTGAAGTAAGCACGATGACTTGCGCGTGAATTAGTTTAGTGGTAGCAGACTTGCACAGCATCTATCGCACCCTCCCCTCCTCCCCCACCTGGACCCGGTGTCAAGACAGAGTCCAGAAGACTGGAGTCAGGGGAGGGCGCAGGTAGATGGCAGAGTCCAGCCCGCACCTTGGCGCTCCACTCCATATTTCCTGGTCTACACAACAAATGAGGGGGTTTTTTAACCAACAACAGTGGGGGGCTTAGCGCGGCCGAAACCGCACCTAGGCGTACCACCACACCTGGCTCCGATCCCACAAAGTGGGAGGGCCAACACACACATGTGTGTGGCACTTTGTCACGCGTTGTTTAATTGTGACGCCGTCCTTCACCCTAAGACAGGCCTTTGTAGAATGTCGATGTTGTCTCAAAAAAAATATGCGCAAAGTCCTTATCAGACTTGCTTTTCTCTTGGCAGTTCTTCACGTTTCAACCTCCCCTCCGGCATCCACTATGATCACGAAGAGTTTCTCAAATTCCTAGCCACTCCGCTCTCGGAATTAGAGGAGAACCGGCTGACGGAAATGGCGAAATTACGGCCGTTGGATAAGGAATTGCAATCCGCCTTTCAGGTACACTTTTTCTTAAAAGTAAAGTCTCCGCCTCTCCAGCGTTTACCTTTTTTCCATCGTACACTGCACATTAATGTTGTGGGTTCGTGTCTGTGTCCCGTTCAGCGCCTTCAAGTTCATATTCAAAACCATCGAGCGCTAATTCTGGAGTTTTGCAAAGCTTTGAAATACGATAAAGCCACTTTTGCATGGGAGATGGTTTTCAGAACCAATCGGAGTGTCTCCTCTTTTCGTCTACTTTAAGCTGTTTATTTGTTGAATCGTTCCGACAACCCAAATCATCATGTCAGTACGACTACCTTTTCACAGTTTCCGTCTGTAACAGTACGGTTATTTTTTCATGCATTTTACCACTAAGTGTATTTTTGGGGTATCTGTACTTCCTCTGTTGACAGGCGTAGCAGACAAGTCACATTTAGCTTCGTTCGACGATAGAACTCTGTATACATCTTGCCCGCTTCAGTCAAACCATCGTTCTGGCCTTGTCAGGGGCAGATGTCTCAGCTACTGCTTAAAGCCAAGCTAAATCGCCCAAAAGGGGAATGTCACTCGCGAAAGCTTGACGTTTTTGGGCAAACCGCAGCGGAATCCTGCGTATAGTAATTAGACAAGGCTGCCAAGATCCAAGTAGTCCAAGAAAACGGCCTTAGCTAGTCTGTTTGGCGGACGTTTGATTTGTTTAATACACATACTACTTGGTATATGTTAGTAAGCTTGTTTTTATCGGTATTGGTGTCATGCATTGTGGCCGTTCTGCTATGCGAAGCTTTATTGATCCGGTCTTTGCTGTTCATCAGATTTATCTTTTTTGTCGGTTATTTCGTCTCTGACGGCTCCATTTGTGGTTTCTAGGCTGTGGATTTGCAGGGTCAGACTGTACTGAACGGCTTGGAAAACTACTTGCCGCATGGTGGATTTCCCAAGGTGCGTTTCAGACGTTTGCCTAACCAGTTCTCAGGTACCTAAAGACATCCGTCTCATGTATGGTGGTCCGTCTTAATCCCACTAATATTTATTTTCAGCTGGTCTTTTACGTAGTCGAATGTTGGTTTACTGCTCTAGTTGCATAGGTTTGTTAACCCACCTTCCATAAGAAAGTTGGCAATTGTCAATACGCAAACTTTTGACTAAAGCCTTGTTTCGTCTGCCGCCTTTAGTTTGGCTGATCGCAAGCGATACGAATGTTTAAAATGTTGAATTTCGAATATTTTGAGCTTTTTGTCTACTTCATTCTGACCGAGGCAAAACCGTGCCCCGGGAGAGGCTCGAACTCTCGACCTCCGCATTATAAGTACGGCGCTCTATCCGACTAAGCTACCGGGGCCACGGGTGTTGGCGTCCTCAAAATTTACTTGATTGCCTTTGCCTTGAATAATGTGACTTCGCGCACGTCTCTCTTTGTGTGTTTCGGTGGTTTTCTCACAGAAACTTCAGTAGAATCTGCCGGAATCGCCTATCTCCTGCATGTGATTCGGTTTTGCGTTCTCACAGCTGTATCGTGTAAGGAGTGACCCCACGGAATGTTTTGAATTAAGCACCGATGGGTTCTCTGGATTGCAGTCTACGATTACAGTTAATTACATGACCTGTTGGCTTTTCCAATAGTTGACAGCCAAAATCTCCTCGCATTGATGCCTTCACTACTTATTTCTGGGGGGGCTGAAATAGCTGGGAAGGCCAATATAATGATTGATTTGTTGGTTAGGGTTTTTGTCGCGGTCGTTTTCTGACGTTTGTGTTACGGTTGCACTTAAGCATGGGATTGAGGTTAGGCTTGGATTCGTAGTTAAAATTAGGCTTAGAGCTGAGGCTAGTGTGAGGATTGCGGCTGGTGTTTGGGTTAGGGCTAAGTTTACGGTTGGGGCTAGGTTCTGGGGGTAGAGATTAATTGCTGGGTTAGTTTTGGTGCCTCGTCAAGACTGGCCTGCAAATTACGATTGGGCTCAGGTATTTGGTTTCGCATGCATTACCGGTTTACTTTGTTTGATATTTAGGTTCACGCTACGACAACCATTCCACATTATCATAGGCTTCCAACATTTACAAATTCCGACTGACAGTTTTACCCGAGACCAGTCAGACCTGCGTTGGAGGTCGCATTGTTGACAGTACGCAAAGCTACCTTTATGCTCAATGACCTCGTCTGCACTTTCGATGTTCAGTTGACTCTTATGCCCGTCCATTTTTATGACCGCTGTGCGGCTTTTCCGGTCCAATTCGCTTTCTTTAAACGTAATTTATCGTTCCAGAAACGACAGTACAGAATACTGATATGCTTATGTACGGTAAGAGATATGTCGAAAGCCACTGGAAGGCCATCGCAGCAATTAGTTCGGAATTAAAGTAATAGACACCTTCATACAGAATTCGATCAGCAAATTGCTAAGCCATTGTGTAGTGGCTTGTATTATAATATCGACTTTAAAGACAAAGGGGCCATATGTGGTTATGTAGCCCCATCTGAAGTAAAGTGTAGGCCCGTATGTTCAATTAAGCGTTGCTGAATACGAACGACTTTCCGTTTTTCTTTTGAGCTACGATGCCTGGCAAAAGAAAATAACGGACTGACATTAACGCTTACGGAAGTTACTTCAAGTGCGCTCTGCAAACCCCAATTACACAACCCTATTAAGCAGAAGTGTTTGTCAAGGCCGCAGGACCGCTTTCTCTCCAGTCTCTATTAACACGTAGAGCACATATATATGTGAGTAGCATGTTAAAATGAGATTATAGATTTCGGAACCAATTTGTGCGCCGATGTGCACAAAGCACAAGTGTACTGGGCTGCTTCTTGCGGTTGCTGTGACTGTGATGCCATTAAAATGTTTGTCGTCGTACCAAGTTGATAACAGTGCGACACCTACGTGCAATTTTTTCCCATCGATTCAAGGGCATCTTGGATGAGCACTTAGCCCGTTAGAACTCTTCTTAAACAAGTCAAACCTTTCGGAGGTAGGCAGGCCTTCTGATAGGCTGAGAATTTTTCTTCAATAGCGAACACGTAGGACGCACCGATATCACTCAGGTTACCTGTGCTAATGTCTCATACGCACATTTGACTTTACGCGTGGCTTGTACAAATTTTCAACAATGTTTGCGTAATTGACGTGCGTAATTGCGTTGGGTCAAAGCGTTTGGTCCCACGTAGTCTTTTCGATTGCATTTTGTAGGACGTTGAGACTGCGTGGTTGAGTGATTTTGTTTCTTTTTGCCAAAACGCTGGCATCGCGAATTAAATATGACAGCCGCGCCAGTGGGCGGTATTTGAGGTCTCTGGACGAAAATTGTGTACAGCCTGTTCATGTTTTCTCTCTGGGCCGTGATGACACGTTTTGGACGCTCACCACACTCAACTTCACTTCCAGTGGGCTTGCTTTTGGCGTACATTATAGGAGACCAATCCGGCTGGTGATCCTCGGTACAATAAATCTGACTCTCCCATAGGCTATCAGAACGCACCAGTATCCGTGGTGTCGAAGATTGCTAGCCGATGAGCCAGCTCGTCACTCCTCGAGGCTGGCAGTCAGGCTTTAGTGCCGCCCACAGTGGAGCCCTTTTTCCGAAATATCTGAGATCTATTCACGGTGTAGCTAAAAACCGATCCTTGTATTTGACAGCTACATATGTGTCTATTACTACCACTCTAGACTCTCGTCTTCACTCCTCAACAAGTTTGGCATTTTTTACTTTGCTACTTATTCCGTGTAGGTAGATTGGAATAATTCAATAGAATTATTGCCTCGTTTTCCCGCCAGTTCGTGCATTTGGGAACGAGACAGTCCAAACACACTATCACGATTATTTCCACCCACCTCAACCACCACCCCAACCCTTCTTGCAGCAGTGTGCAGATCCGCACTGCCTGCATCAGTACCCCTCGTTTTGCGGATCCACCCTTCTCTGACTGCTTACCTTTTTGCCTGGCAATCCGGGCGTATGTTACCGGTGGACCAGAGTCGTCGTCCTGGAGTCGTTTTCTTCGACATTTGACGTCAATGCCTATAGGTGTGCCCGCCGTTTACCGTCTTGCGGTATCGCACTGGCTGGGGATGCTTTAACCCACATGGGGGGAGGCCTACCACAACCGTTACGATTGTGTTCAGTTGGTTTTCTGTAGTTTTAGAGTGGTGCGCAGTTGCCTTGTGGGTACTGTTTTCGCCGTTCCAGCCCTCTTCCTCTACCCGGGGCGATTCACTGCCTACACTGTGACACATTTTATACCGGTTAAAAGGACTTAACTGTCTGCGGTTACCTTAGCGCTTTCTGCACTCTTGTCTGCTTTACTCTCTGAGGAGGCGAACACTCGTGGTCCCGGTAGTTTAGTCGGTTCCGGTTTCAGAGTGCTGCCCATCGAATGCCCCAAATAACGGCAGCCTACTGTTGGCTATCAAAACACCCTCATTATTTCTTCTAAGCAGTTCACGTTAGTTTCATTCCCTAGTACACTCTGTCTACCTGTAAAGGAGCTGTGTAGGACCAGCGCAAATCTTCGGTGTCTCCGTTTCGCGGCCTCTTTTGTCGAGCACACACACACACATGGAGGACTCTGTTGTACCGTTCCTACTGCATTAGTCTAGGGTTTCCAGTCACATACTAGCCATCTTCTCCCTCCCTCGCTCTTACAATCGCATTTTTTTAATCTGGTGGTTTGTTTTTTGTTAATTTCCATCACGATGACCTCTCTGAATTGGCAAACACACAGCCGCGTTTTTATTTACCGTTGTTTGCGTATTTTACAGCACTGATGGACAGACTTCACGCACTGTCCTTCACGTTTTGACCTGCACTTTGGCAGACAAACTTTAAATTAGCCTTACAAGGCTGGTTCCATGTTGGTTATGTCCGATTGAAAGACAGATTTACTGCTACCTATAATAAACCGGTCCTACTTTGGCGAGAGGTCTGTACCGTTACAAACCCATAGCCTTCAGCGACTGGTCGGGGCGTGTTCTGCAGTGATCTCTCGCTACTCCCCCCTCGCCGGTCTCGTTGTGGTTGGCGTATGCTAGTCATTGACAGGATGGAAAGATGCGTCAGGCGCGACGGACGTCTTTCGGTTTCAGTTTAAATCATAAGCAGAGTTGTTTATCGTCCAGGTGGACCGAACCACTGCCGTCTGACAGGGGACCACCTTTTCTCAGGATTCGTTTCAGTTAACTTCAGTAGCCCCCTATGGAGTCCGTGTTCTTGCTGGCGGTGGAGTCGATGAAATTCCTTCACTGGTGAACTTGCCTATGGTAATAGGTCAGACTTGGTTGTGAGGCGTGATCATAATAAGGCCAGTGGAAGCTCAGCCTGTCTGCTTTATTCGCTGACCCGTTTGGGCCAATAACATCGGTCAAAACTTTTTGGCAGTTGGCCTTCGTCCCCATAGGCTTCCGTTCAGGCAGTACGGTCATATTATGAGGATGCTTTGGTTAAGTTCTATAAGACAAGTGCGATCATGTGGCCTTTCGATTATCGTGCACCTGATATCATGTTCCTTCAATCCCGTGTGTCTCCACCCGCACAAACCCGATCTCCATCGTTCCTCTGTGTCAACTTTGCTGCAGTGTCACTACAAGAGCCTCCAACTCTTGTCCCTCCCTTTTGCGTTAATTTGAGTAGTATCTACCGCCAGTTTGCTTGAATTTTCTCAGCCCCTGGGTACGTTGTCATCCACGTAATCATTCGGTTTCCTCCCACGGTTATATATATATTGCTACCTTATTATATTCAGTAGAAATGTTTCATAGAATTTTTCTTAGAATCGTATAATCAGACCATCCGCTAAATATCATTCATTAAGAATCTGCCTGGTATTCTCAATTCAGAACACACGGTCAGCATATGCTACGGAGCTTACTCGTTTCGTTGCTTTTTGTTTTAATTGTATAATGACGTCTGCAAGCTTTTAGCATGCAAGCAGGACAAGGTGTTGCTTTTTTGCCATACTGAACACTGTCCACGCTATTATTGTAAGGCGA